CCGGCTGGGGCAAGCCGAACCACCGGTCAACCGCCTATGCCGAGCGAAGGCCGACTGTTTGCCGAGTGTTTGGTGCTTACTGGGAAACACTTAAAAGAGCATAGGGTAGTCAAATTCAAACTTGTGTCGCTCGAGAAATTATCAACCTATAACAATAGCCGAGATAGGTCGCTATTAGACAAAATTATTGTTGTCTACCGCAGTAGCCCAGCGTAGTTATTAATAATAATTATTTGAACACGCTTTCCTTATAAACATTAACTTTATGGCTGGCTTTATTGTTTTGATTCTAATTTTAAGGCGTGGCCACCGCTTATTTATTATTATAAAATTGGTGGATGGCTGCATTGTTTTAATGCAGAGTGCATTCTTTAAAATTTAATATTGAAATATATGTAGTTTTAACTAAGTTAAAAAAAATGGGTGACATGGAGGACCCAATTGAATATTTGAGTACCCGTAAATTATACAGATTACAAAAAAAATTCCACGGCACTTATTGCAAAATTTAAATATAACATACAGTAATATATTTAATTAACAACATTAGAAAATGAAATGGTTGTTATTTATAATTGTAAAATTAAAAATATTCTAGGCCCTTTAAAACTGCACAACTTCATTTACAACAAGGATTTGTGTGATGTATTTGTTGAAACAAAGAAACTGTTATCCCTAATTTTAACAATCCCTGTTAGTACAGCATCTTTAGAAAGATCTTTCAGCACCTTAAACAGAATAAAATCATATCTGAGAAATTCAATGACCAATGAAAGATTCTGCTTTGGCAACCTTAAGTATCGAGAAATCAATCAATCAATTTCATCAAAATCCTTCCTTTAAAGAAAAGGTAATTGACCATTACGCTTTATCTAAAAATCTAAAAATTTATAAACAAATTTAAACCTTAACCATTGTTAATTTTTTATAGTTTTTCTTTAATTTTTAATTAATATATTTATGTTTATATTTTATTTTTAGTTTTTGTTTTTGTTATAGCCTAATTTATTTTTTATGATTAAAGTTTTGTTAATTTTATACCACACTTTTTTTCATCTAACCGTATATTTGTCTACCCATACAAAAACTCCACGCTTCGCCACTGGTAAATAAAGCAATAATCAAGTAATAACGTCACAAAACATAATATAAGCATAAACTTAAGAGGCCAGCCCCAATAAAATTAGTGTTTAAAACTAAAATAAACAGTCAATTAAGAAGTAACCTAAACACAGAAAAGTCAATACAGCCGTATAAAGGGCAACTATAGACAACTAAGGATTACGCACAGTGGGGTAAAATAGCAAACAGCTGCATATTATGAAGTCGGTACCTTGGCATGAGGGTTTAAATTTCAACAAAGGCAGAGGGACACTTCTAACGGATTGTCGTGGTCAATTCGGTACTGGAGACACAATTCAGTAGTAGGTCAAACAATTCTAAAGCGGTTACCGATTTTTTAGAGTAATTTCAGCAGACGGGCAAGAAGTTACACAAGAAACACAATAGCCTCCCCAGCATATTAACCAACCAAGCCCCATTCATGAATCCCAATTGAATGGGGTTATTACTAAATCCCTGGTTAAGGGGGACTCCGGATTGTACTTAGTTTTGGGCCAGTTTAATGTCCCCCACAAACCAAAATGTTTTCCCTTTTTGTTCTGCACTCCACTAGCCTAAATCGGCCCGGCCCGGCGACAAATTTCGGGGAGGGGCTTTAACCATCGTAACTGTCATCCACGACCTCCTAGGCGAGAATTACCAGCCAGGGATCCAAGATAGGAAATGCTGTGCAGTTGCTGGATACGTAGGAGAACTGAATCCTCAATTATAATCCTATAGGATTATAATTGAGGATATTCTATTACATATAACGAAATAATAAGCAAAGGAATGTTGGCACAAGAAGTGAAATATATTATTTTACAAACTATAATATACCAGTATACAATCAATGTATTACAAGTGTGACCCCGGATCGGATTGGCAAAAGGAAAAATGTATAGACCTGATACAGCTAAACCGATTACAGATTTGTAATCTCGACCAAAAATTTTGTTTACTTATCCGAGCGTTTAGCTGGGATATTCCAAAAGTTGAAAATTTGAATTTTTATTTAGACAAAAATTTCTAATTTAAAAAACTTTTTGTAGACCCATTAGCAAAAGTATTTGTAGTAATTTTTTTTTTTTTTTTTTTTTTTTTTATAATAATAATAATGCTTTATTCGTGTTTACATACAATAAGTATTTACACTCGTCACAAAAAAATATAATACATGATAATAATAAAAAAATGAGACTAACTAATTACATAAAATACCTTATAAGTATAATAAATATAAGAAAAAAAACAAGATACTTTATTTGTATACAACAGTACAATATACCTAAAGGTAATAAAAAACCAACTAATACAAAAAAATACAAAAAAATTCATAACATATCATTATCCAGAAACTCCTGAAGGTTATAAAAGGCTTTTTCAATTAAATAAAATTTTATGAAATTACAAAATGATTTTAACGGCATTTCTTTAACATGCTTGGGTAATTTGTTATAAGAAATGTTGCTTAAAGTCGGTTTCATATAGATGCGAACTATTTTAGGGACATTGTTTTCTCACTAGGCGATATTTTCCATGCTATTTTAGGTATTTCAATAGTAAAGTTACTTAAAGTGACTATAAAGGTAAAATAAGAAACGTTAATGTTACTCAAAAAACTTTGTCCATTATAATTATAGTTTTATTCGAACTGTTTAAATAAGTGTTTGAAGTTTTTTTTTGTTTTTTAAAAAACAAAAAAAAACTTCAAACACTTATTTAAACAGTTCGAATAAAACTCAACAATACAAACACTACGATACCAAAGAAATAAACATAAATGGCGTAGGTATGATAAGCATGATACTACATAAGTCTTATTTAGTATCATGATGATAAGCAATTGATTAATGTGCATGCGAAACGCATTACGCCAAATTATTGCGATTTTCGCAAAAAATGGATCAATCTCAAGATTCCCGCCCCCTAGATTCAAATCTTGCAAATTCACAGGATCTGTCGAAACGTCGAAACGCTTTTCCCGCCAAATCAAATGGACCAATGAGAGCATTTTTCGCATTTCGCAATTTGCATTTCGCATCTATATAAAACGGGCTTTATAAATCAATTTCCTAAATGAACACAAAAATAACATACACACAATTAAATAACATACCATTGTGAAATTAACAAATTTTAAAGAAATTTGGTACAATATAATTATCAGTACTGCTACATCACTCACTGATGTATTTCGTAACTTTAACCCACTTTACTCTACCCCTAATTTCAGTTTAAAAACCAGGGCTGTTATCTTTTTTCGGATACTTGTTAAATAGGTATAAGGAATCCGTTTAACAATAATAACAGATTTCTGGTAATACAGAGTGCGGAAAAAAGGATTCCCCATTTTTAATATGGTCGCTTTAGGTAGGTGCATGCCATTTTCAGTCGTAATAATAATTATGTCAGAAATATTTGGGATGTCAATAAAAATCAAACTAAGAAAAAGCTTTCTATTTTTAAAGGTCCATAATAACGCGATGGTTTTTTAAAATAAAATGTCCGGGCAAAGTTGTCTCTTTACGGGGTGATATTGGGTGGCCTCCGCGTTCGCCTGATTTGACCCCTTGCGATTTTTTTTGTAGCGGTATCTAAAATCACAAGTTTTTAAACATCGTCTACAAAATTAGGAAAATTTAAAGGCAGTAATAAGGCAAGAAATAAACGCTATTCCGCAAGACATGGCGCACAGAGCAATGACGAGCTGTCGTAATAGGCTTTAAATGTGCATTGACAATAACGGCGGTCATTTAAGAGACATTATTTTTAAAACATAACGTTAAAATGTATAAAATAATATGTTTCCTAAAAATAGAAAGATTTTTCTTAGTTTATTTTTTATTGACATGCCATATATTTCTGACAGAATTATTATAACGACTGAAAATGGCATGCACGTACCTACCTAAAGCGACCACACCCCCCACGAGCCGAGCAATAACCCTTTAAAAATGAGGCATCCTTTTTGCCGCACCCTGTATATTATAAACACTATGGACAGTTGTTACGAGCACGTTACGATCGAATAAAGTTACTTTATTAAAGTTGCAGACGCTAAAGTCAGTTGAACTTGTTAATGCGTATTGTTGTGCTGACGTATGAAGATAAAAAAGTCAGTGGGAAATGATTTGATTGACTTAAAATCACGTGTACTTTTTTAACGAAATAATTTGTGAAACATTTACAAAATAATCTGTAACCTTTAAAATTAACAAAATTGCATATTACCTTTACAAAACTTTCGAAAATATTTATTTCTTTTACAATTGATGAAAAGCGAGTTTTTCATGCGAGTGTTTAAAGTTTTTAAATTTACTCACAAGGGCGTTAGGCCGAGTGAGCATTAACACAACTTGAAGAAGGCTTTTCTCACAAGTGAAATACAATGTTTTTTCTACGACCCTTTTATTTTTTATTATTTTTAAATACAAAACAAAATAATCAATTTCTTTTCACACAAACCTGTCACTTTTCACACAGAAATGTCACTTTACATTCGAGTTTTGCCGTGCCAATGAAAAGATTAATTTTCTAAGCAACGATGCCATTACGAAATGTGACTTTTACATAGGAAGTGGTCGTAATATGTTCCTTTGTTAAAATAATTACAAACCCTAGTTTTATACCAAAAATTATGTTAAAATTTTACAAACTAAAATTAACAAACTACAAACTTATATTAACAAATCTGATTTTTATAATAGTGTATACACTACCTTTGTGTATAATGTATATATGATTGGTTTTATTTATGAAATAAGATAAATTTTTATCGCCCTTAATATAGTCACCACGATTTAATATGTTTTACAATTGGAGCGTATAGGTATTTTAAATTTGGCGCCAACCAGCGTCGCCGCACGTTTTTATTTAGACGAGTATTTTCCTCGCGCACATATTTCGGACGGTATGTATTTCTCGGCGCCGAATATTGATTTTGTTTAAAGCGTCGCCACAGTCGAAATGACAAGATCGTGAACAAAAACAACAAAATACCAATAATAATAAACAATGTGTAAACCATTACAAAAGTGATAAACAAAAATCGAAAACAAATAAAAATAAACCAAAAGTTTGTGTACTTAAATTAAATAAATTGCTAAAATGGGTTCGATTGTGTTGCGCTCCCTTTCAGTGCTATTAGGATTGTTTTTTATTTTTGTGGGCATCTTGAAGATATCAAATTATATTTCCAAGGACCTGCATAAAGACTTGGTAAGTTGCGGTTGTTCAGATTTTTCAAAATTTTGTTACACAATAATGGATATGTAAACTTTTTGGCTCTTTGCCTGTCTAGGTTGTTGCAAATATTTTTAAAACATCAAAATACTTTATTGTGTGACGTCCTATGGTCATTAAGTTTATTTTATTTGGACTGTCGAGTCTACAATGTAAACCCTTAACATATGACAAACTATCCAAATTTAATTTAACAACTAACTTATTTTAATATAATGCTTGAAATTATTTGAAATAATTTAAAATTAAATACTTTTTAGAGGAAAGAATATGTAAAGTATTCAAAGGTATTTCCGTTTGCGGAAACTTTTAACTTTAAAATTCCATCGAAATGGTATCGACGAACAGTCGGAGCCTTAGAAATAATATTTGGAGCAGCTTTAGCGTTTGCACCTACAAGTAAGTAAATAGTACAAGATTTACACCTAAGATTTCAGAAAATTGCATACCTACTATATAGAACGTCCCGGAAATGCCAGGAGACATTTAACACTGTATTCCTTAGTAAAAAAATAAAAGTTTTTTTTCATATAAAGTTATTCTCTACGGGGTATCGTTTCAAAATTACAGGGTGTTAAATATTTTAAATACTGGAAGATGTATTATCACAGTATTTTGGCTATTTTTTATTTGGTAATGTCTTTTCAATGCTTATTATATCATTTTCTTATTATAGCATACTCGATTAATAACACTGTAGGTAAATTTTAACTCTTGAAATATCACAGCTAAACGCTCGGACACGTAAACATAATTTTTGATCGTAGATTTCAAATCCGTGCTCGGTTTAGCTGTATCAGGTCAAAAAAAGTTTTTAATATTGGAAATCCGATACGGGGACACACTGTATACTGGTATATTATAATTTGTAAAATAATATATTTCACCTCTTGTGCCAATATTCCTATGCGTTTTATTTCATTTAATATAATATCCTTAATTATACCCAATAAAAAAAAATCAGCAAACAAATATTTTGAATTTCCTAAATTATCTAAGAAATACCCTTAGGGACACGTTTTACTTTTGATCAATTAACTTCAAATTTTGCAAGAATTTATGTTTTTTTAAATTTGAAACTGATGTGAGGGTCCAGCCAAATTGAGTTTTTTTTTAAATTTATATTTTACAAAAAGTTTTATTACAAGAACAAAGGAGGTAAATTTTGTTTAAAATTAAAGGAAATAAAAGGCATTACCAAATAAAGCCCCAGCTAAAATTTGGCATCATTATATTTTAAAGTTCAAAAACTATTTTTATGAAAATTTTAATCACCCCATAATTTGGAAACAAGATAGTATATTATTATACGAGATATATTATTTACGAGGATGGTACAATTTTCATATTATACAGGGTTCCCCAAGAATCCTTCTATGTGTATGGGTATTTTGTTTTTTAAAAATGTCTTTTAAAATTGATATTTTTAATTTGAAAAAACAGCTGTTTATAAAATATTTAAACCTGTCAAAACCAAAAATTGTTATAACTCGTTATTCATGAAAATTTTAAAAAATGTAAGTTTTACATGTAAACATACATACAAGTACTAATCCACATTTACCTTAATTTCTTCTCTACTATATTTTAATTTACCACCAAATTTTTGTATTGAATTTTTGCCATATTAATAGACTTAATTACGCAACTTTTCTCAAATATAACTGATCTTGTAGCTCTTTAAATAAAAAAGATACATAGAACTTCTATGATAGAAGGATATTTGCACCCTGTATAAACTATTTTATACCTATGTATTTAGTTTTTTTTGGGTTAGTTCAAATTTTAGCAATAGCTAAATGAGCACTCTAAAGAAAGTAAGTAATTGTTAAGGGGGCGGCAAAAATAACTTTTGCACGGGGCACCGAAATGTCTGGAGCCGGCCTTGTTTATAGGGATTTTGCGGATCCCTATAAATATATATAAGGTTTGACTTTACTGGTGAAGGTGCTCCTGAAACTTTTTTAAAAATTTTTACCGAAAGGGTTAAAAGCAAATGTGTTTTTTTTGAAATATACAGATATGGTTATTTTAAAATTAGAATTTTTTTGTCAGCCTGTGTTTGTAAATTTGCATTAGCCAACCGTATCCCGAAATTTTTAATGTTTATTAAAGTCCGCATATAAAACGAAAATGCATTAAAAAACAATTATATCGAAAAATCCCACTTTTTATTTTCTGAAATCTGGCAACCATAGCTACGATAAATACATGATTGGGAAAAAGTGTATGATATAATATTAAAAAAAAAAATATTTAATAATGTAATTTATTTGGTTATAAATACAACCAAATTTAAAATAATTAAACTTAACACAGAAAGAAACAATATTTGGATATAGGTACTTAGAATTTAGTCGTTATAATAATTATTTAAAACCGCCCGACGATAATTAACCATTTTAATTTAAAACAAATTTATTTCTCAATAATACAATAAAATAGAATATTATCCGATATTAAATATCGAATATTTATAAAAAATTATTAAACATTTTTACGAAAATATCATATAAAATGACCTAAATTTTACTTTAAAATGACATAAACATATTCATTTCAATTTCTTTCAATAAAATTCCCATAAAACTCGATAAGTGGTCAATAAATCATTTAACGACTCTCCTATGAATAATCTCGATTTAAACGGAATCAATTGAACTGCATCTAAAATTAATACGCATGCAATTTTCAAATTATTTTCGACGTCATAAATGTTCTGCATAAATTTATTTTTAAGTCTAACATTGACAAAATATAGGTTGCGGTCGCCAATCTTACTATATTTATCTCATTATAAATATATGCGCTACCTAATGGAAATTATTTTTATCTTTTCGTCTATTTTCCGTTTGTAAACAAATCAATTGCTCAAATTTTATAATGTTAAAACTATTTTAAAAATCCTTTTATCATTCGATTTTTTTGTGTTAATAGATTTATATAACCTAATAACAACCCTGTCAACTAGTTGATATGATAAATAGACGTAGTATATTCGAAGCGTTTGATTCATATTTAAAACATTTAAAAAATACCTAACAACGTTTATTTCTAAGATAATAAATAAAAGTTGTTTATGTAATTTTATTTTTAAAGTTTTTGTCTATTTATTTTATTAGCATAAATTTCATAAAACCATTAAAATTGCTAGTAAATAAAATGTAATAAACGTAACTAAGTTACAAGTTACAAGTCTTGTTTATTAATTTTACAAATATCCCGGCGCATTCGCCATTTTTATGAATTTGAAGAAATGTGATGGGAATGTTCTTCAGTGCCTAAAGTGACCGATTAAGGAAAATTATTTCCCGCTGAAACATATATTTATATTATATTTAATTATTTTTTTCATGTATTATTCAGGGTTACGCACCAAAACATACAATCTTGAAAAATATTCCATAGAATTTGGTAAGGTGTTTTAAAAAATTTATAAAAGTGCCAATTGACAGAAAAACTAAAGAATGTTTACCAAGAAGATGTTTTAATATTCTGATTAGTCATGAGAACGCTATCCGTCCTCCAAAGTGTCCCAAACTTTTGGGACACCCTTTATATGCATTGTAATACAAATTAAACGCAGGTATATTGAGTATTGGCCTTAAATATAGCAATAACTGTAAAAAAATCTAACTCTATAACGCCTTTATTAATCTTTATGAAATTTTGAATAAAAATGCTTCAACTGAGTTTACTTGTTCGAGGGTTTTTTCAAAAAAATATTTTTAAAGCCCTTTTATTTAATATTAAAAAAACGTTCAAAAATAACTTTTAGGAAGATACAGCGCTTCAAAGTCGGTAAAAATGTCCCCTTTTTGATTATTTTGCTGAAAAGTGGTCATTTTTGACGACTTATCTGTAGCTTTGTTACTGTTTATTTATTTTGTACAACATTTTCAGGGTATACTAACTAAAATATGGCCATTAACAGCATATTTTTATTTAAGTACTTAAAAAAAATCCCTAAAAGTTATTTTTTGGACGTTTTTTCATTATTAAATAAAACGGCTTTAAAAATATTTTCTCGAAAAACCCTTGAACACGTTAACTGAGATATAAGTTATAGTAGGTTCAGGGCTCTCACACTTTCTGCCCGTGTAGTGTATACTATTTTTCTTACTACCCGGCCGAAAATACAACCCAACCCAACCCGGCCGAAAATACGGGAAAAAATTAAATGTGTATATCGAAACATATTGATGCCTGCCCCGACATTTGCGGCACGAGCGAAGCCTTCGTAGCCCTTGTAGTGTAATATACTCTAAAATACGTTGTTTCGTCCCCGATTCCAATGCATCAAACGTAAACTTTCTGCCGTAGAATCGGGGACGAAACAACGTATTTTCGGCCGAGGTAGTAAGAAAAAGTATTTTTATTCAAAATTTTAATTTTAGGTTTAATAAATTCGTTTTAGAGTTAGATTTTAATAATTATGGCCAATACTGTAAGTTCAGTAATTTAAAGATACACATGTGCCAACTTAATTGTAATTGTGTAGTACCTACACCAGGTGCACAAATTTTAGTAAGCTGAAAAATATAACCAATATTTATATTCAAAAGTGAATAACATAGCATAACATGTTTTCAAATAATTGTAAGATATTAAAAGCTTTTTTCATAATATTAATATAATTAATTATTTTTTAGCAATAATTAAAAATGGTGCAAACATCTGCCTTCTGGGTCTGACATTAATGGCTGTGTACTCGCATTACATGGTGAACGACCATCTGGAGCGGACAGCTCCCGCACTGGTGTTCCTCTTCATGCTCTGCGGAAGACTTGTGGTGTACTACCAAGTGCAAAGACGAGAAGCTGACAAAATCGAAGCCACCGCTAATGGTTTTAAACAAGAATAAATGCGTTTACAACAACATGTTTTGTGTCCTGAAAAGTTAATCACCATACAAACTTAGATGATTGGTTCAGTTATTTTAAGCAATAAATGTTTTTTTCAAACAGCTTTATTTCTTCATTTTAATAAAATTCTTATGAACTAAGGAAAAGCTGAAGTAACTGAACTTGATTGTTAGAGGTTTGTAGAATTTGTTTTTGGGAAAGTGAAATAATTTCGTCCAAAGTTGGAGTTAAAATAGCAGAGACCTCATGCAGTAGCCTTAATATTGTGAAACGAAGTCGTGGTTATTTTGTATATACTCGTACGTACCTATAGAGAATATGTACTGAATTCAAATTTTATTCGGTTTATCCACATTTAGCGAAAATACCAATTAAATATGCTAAACTACATAGTACTTAAAATTATAACGCAATAATTATAACTCGTAGAAAAAAAGTTGCATGTATTTTTTTTGTAAATTTAGATGTGGTTGTACAGGGTGAGTCAGTTTTAATCTGTGACAAAATTAAAGGAAGTCGTGAATCGTAAATTCTACCTTTAATATAGCTTTATACATTTTTTAAATTCCGCATTGGGTTATTTTTGCTTGATTTTGGAATGTGGTTGCTAGATAGTTTTAAAAAATGTTTCTATAATGTGCACTTTTTATTTATTACTTTTATATAAAACCTCTAGATAGGTAGGTAATACGTTGGTGTACAAATTTGTTAATTCATCTAGATATAATTTTGGCACTGCCATTTGTGACCATCAAAACGCAGAATAAAACCATTTGATCATCTAAATTTAGTTTTTGTCTAATGCCTTGTAACCTTGGCCAAGAACTAATGTATCATATTTTAAAAGCAGAATTTATATCTAAATTAAATATTTTGCCAAGCCTATGCCATATACAATTTATTTTAATAATGCTACACATTTAACTGTATATCTCACTGGAGCGACATCTAGTGAATAATAGAAAAATGAACATAAACTGATCCGAGGTAGCTAAGAGGAACTGAGTTGTATTTAAACTGCATATAAAGTAAAGGTAAGTAGCATCGTTAAGTAAATGATTTGTTTTAAATAAAATGTTGAATCGAGAGATTTAAAATATGCACATTCTGGCTCAGAAAAATCTTACTTGGAATTGAGACATTATACGCTCGAAAAAAATAAACAAAGTAACCTATTGTTACACTAGTTGTACAATGAAAATATTGTTCCACTATTGGAACGATAAAAAGGAGGAAGAAAAAGAAGACAATAATTATAAACAATAAATTACAGCAATTTTTACATACAGTATCTAGCATAATGTTAATATATACTTTCATAATTATGATTTTAAACATTGTTGAACAATGATTGTTCCCATATTTAGTCCTATTAATTAACCTTCATGGAAAAAAATACAAAAGTAAAGGAAAAATAATCTAATTTTGAAACGTAAGGGAAATTTATTTTTATAGATGTTGAATAGTATACGACAGGGACTATGATTTTTGAATAAGCTTCGTCACTTTGTTTGCAATTAATCACCTGTTTGTTATTGTTATGCAATTTTAACTAAATATAATCACTTACGTTTACTTTATTGTGGGAAAAAATATTATGTGCAACTTCTAAAGAACGGGGGCACAGTATAGTATTATTGTCTTAACTTTACCTACTTCCTTTCTCGTGATTTTCCAGAATTCGCTAAACTGCGCACCACTCAATGTGTCGCGACCAAAAAGTTCGTCCTTTTTCAAAACGACATAACTTTTTTGATTCTTAAACGATTTTATTTTGGTCTGTGATGTCTGCTAGCCCCATCCTCTGGTAATTCATGCTATAGATATGAAGCTCACGATTCTTCAAGTAAATTTCGTACAGGGTGATATGTAAAACGGTGAAAAGTTTCAATAACTTCATTTAAGCCCCGATTGAAAAAAGAAATATTTTTTCTCTTTTTTACTTTGAAATAATGAAGTATTATGTCTTACCTTGAAAATGTTTTCAAATTTTTCGAATTGGAATCTTAGCAACGAAAATATGAGTACACCCGAGTCAAAATTTAGATAGAAATTTAAACCTACTTTGACCAACAAAAACTGATTTAAAACCTGTTTAGCCTGTTAACTCCAATTTAGCACTAGAATAACCGAATCAATCTAAATTTGAACGATTTAAACCTCTTATAAAATTTTTGGTCGGATTATAAACCAAATAAATCATATTATTTAAAAAAAAAAATTTACCATTGATAAATTTTAGTTTTTAATTTTACTGCAAATATATTTATAATTAATGTAAAGAATTCGTCCATTCATTATGTAAATTTAAATTATTTGTATACCATGCTGATACTTAAAAAAGGACAACTTTGGTGATATGTGAAACAACTATTAGATATATTCCCCAACACCAAATATATATATGGGTGTGTTCCACTACACCAAGTTTCCCGATACTGATGAGACCCAATATAGGTCGAAACAGCTGTCTGTCGGTATTTGAAGTTGGTGGAACGCACTCAAAACAAAAAACTTTGTCGAGGTGTAGGTTCAATTCTTTCTTAAAAACACAAAGTGCTTAAAGTACTTTTCGCCAACGATGTAAATCTTGAGATTTAGTTACACTTCGCTTCTGAAGATGCCAACATCGTTGGCGAAAAGTACTTTAAGCACTTTGTGTTTTGTTTTGGTGTTGGGGAAAATTTTTAAGATTTGTTTAACCATGGTTACTTTTTAATTGCAATTAAAAAGTATATAAATAAAATGTCTACAAATGCAAAATTTTTATTCAAGTTCGGTTTGATTTACAGGTATTCCAAAGAATTATTTCGCTGCTTTTGAAAGAAACTCTATGCGCATTTTAACAAATTTTACAGGAGTAGATAAAATATTTCACTACTAGATATCACTTTTATGAAGGTATGCATTCCTTAATATTATTTCAATATTTAATTATACTGAAAAATATAAGAAAATACTTTCATCAAAGTTTTATCTTGTAGTGAAATGTCTTTTCCTTCTCCTGTAAATTTTTTTAAAATGCACATAGATGTTTTTCAGGCGCAGGAACGATATATTTAAATTCAAATATTCTCGCTCTTTTATTAATCGACATGCGCAGGGGCCTGGGCTTTTTTGGACTGTAGGTTGTAAAAGGTCATAATTTGGTTAAAATTTAAACGTAATTAGAACCGAAAAATCGGGAAAATGGACTTATCTGCCATGTTTTAGGTTAAAAGTAGGCGAAAATAAAAGCGTTCAAGACTTATTAGGTTTAAATTACGATCTAAATTTTGACTCGGGCATTTAAGGGTTTTTGGTAGGCAATACACTCAGTCTTTTTTAAGAGTAGGTATTCTCTTAAACTGAATTAGTCAAAAATAACTAATTACACTGTAGGGAGGTGAAAATATCACAGCTGTATCAGGTCAAAATTCAAAGATATTTTATTTTCAACTTTGAAGCATACCGTTAGGAAACACTCTGTATAAATTTAAAAAAAATAATTTGGTTGGACCCCCGCATCAGTTAAAAATTAAAAAAAAAAAACTTGCAAAATTTGAGTTTAACTGATCAAAAGGAACACGTGTATTGAGTATAATTGAGGATATTAAATTATTATATATTAAACGAAATAAAAAGCTTAGAAATGTTGGCACAAGAGGTGAAATATATTATTTTACAAATATTCATATACCAATATACAGTGTGTCCCCGAGTCGGATTGCCAATAGGAAAAACTTTTTTTAGACCTGATACAGCTAAACCGAGCACGGATTTGGAATCTACGACCATAAATTATGTTTAGGTGTCCAAGCTGTGATATTTCAAAAGTTGAAAATTTACCTACAGTATTATAACTTATAAGTCATATTTGACTAATTGTCATAGCGAAAAAGAAGTCACTAATAATTAGTCAAATTTTACTGAATGAAATAGTCAAATTAGTAGATTTAAATTAAAAAAAGTTTTGACCCAGCCGGGGATTGAACTCCGTAGTAAAAAATAACTATTTAAAAGTGAAAACGACTATTTTATTAGTAACAAAATGCTGGTACTAATTCAAATAGTAGAATTTCATTTTAAGAGAGTAGCTTGTAGCTTTTTTCAACGGCAATATTTGAAAAGCTCTTATTAAAATTAATTTTATTTGTCAATAAATATTGTTCATAATATTTTAAAGTTGAATATATTATTTAAACGATTAAAAAAATTAGTTACTTTTAACTTTCAGAAATAGTCAAAGATGGTGACTAATCTTAAATTAGTCAAACTTTAACTATATCCGTAGTAAAATATAACTATTTAAAAGTGAAAACGACTATTTTATTAGTAAAAAAAATGCTGGTACTAATTCAAATAGTAGAATTTCATTTTAAGAGAGTACCTAGCTTGTAGCTTTTAATATTTTTTCCATATACTCATAAGCTACTTTAAAAATAAGCTAGTTACTAAAACAAGCTACTCGAGCTTCTTTTAGTACCCTAAGCTTCTTTTGGTAGTTAAAGTTATTTTTTTCTACTCCCATTACGGAATATGATTGTTCTAATATCATTTTTTAATGTGGAATGACATATATTCCTTAAGTATTACAGAATAAATTATTCTATCATCCGATAATAAACATCTCTGTGTTTAATATCCAACAAATTTTAGACCGATCCAACCTCACTTTTTCACAATTAAATTATGTTTTCTACTCCCACCTTTAAAACGCCCTTTAGTATATGTTTCCATGACACTAAGTGACCTTTTAAATACACATTGACAAGTTGTGGCTTTATGGCGCTTTAGTCACGGGCTGAAGTTAGCAACAGGTTTTTAGTCACGGGCCTGAAGTTAGTTTTTTTTTTTTGGTTTATTGGCTTTTAGTCTTTTCGACTATTTAGCCAGCTCATGATTATATATATTTTTTATGCTCGAAAAACAAGCACAACACCCAAGGCTGTGACCGGGAATCGAACCCGGTACCGTGGCGCAGATTGATTACCGCTCTGTAGCTTTAACGCACTGCGCCATCCTCGGCCCCCTGAAGTTAGTTTTAAGTTAGTTGACAGTTGTCAAATGTCATACAATCGTTAAAATAAAGTGCCTTTCTTGTAAAATAATACTAAATGTGAAAATTATTTAATTTTCTCAATAAAAAATACAAAAGTATTAAATAGTTTTTCAACTGCAATATTTGAAAAGTTTATATGAACATTGTACTGACCTTTTAATTTCGCCGGCAGTAAACTATAACTCGGACTCAGACTCATATAACATAAAACACTGTGAAAAACTGTCAATTTTCAAGAAATTAATTTCGATTTATAACCTTTATAATCTGTGTGTATAAAATACAAAAATTTGACATTTGACGGTGACACACAGATTCCCCTATTGTTTCATAGATGGCGCTCTATAAAAAAATTTGATTTAAATCATTTTAAGATAATAATAAGTATTTGTCGTAGAAAAAGTATGGTATGCACCTCGTTTATAAACTTTTCTATACACTCATTAATTTAAGCACTCGCTCGCAAGCTCGCTCGTGCCTAAATTAAATTCGTCTATAAAATGGCGTTTATCAAACTTGATACATAATATACTATTTCTATGGTATTTTTTGGAAACGTAGAAAAAGTTTAGTCTGAAACACGTTTGGAATATACAATTCCGACTAAACTTTTTCTACGTTTCCAAAAAATACCGCTATCGTGAAACCGTCAAACTCGCCTTCGGCTTTTCATTCGAGCAGAATATATGCCGTATTCCAAATTTGTTACAGAATGTAGTATTATTGCTTAAGATACAATTATTA